CACCTTGTAACTGTGACTTTCCTTCCCTCCATTGACTATGGTGACATTATTTATTTGCTCTTACAAGCTCTCTGCAGATGCTGGATGCTGCCAATCATGGTGTACTAAGATTCATAACTGGCTGTAATTGCCATACCCACCATTGTATCTTGTATTCACTGGTTAACTGGTCATCATTAACATCACATAGACTCTCTCACTGGTACATTTTCATCTTTAAATCACTTCTTGGTCTGCTGCCTTCATACGTCTCCTCCTACATGTCTCTGCGTGAGTGCAGCTACAGTGTGCGCTCTCAGTACATTATTACCTGCAGTGTTCCCTCAGTGAGGACTGAACTAGGCAAAGGGTCTTCTCCTGCTCCGCTCCTGTTTCCTGGAATATCTTGCAAAAAGATCTGAAGCTTTCGACCTTGTCCTCTCTAAGTGGCTTCAAATATTAAGTTTCTGGCAAAAATCAATGCAGACATGTTCTTGTTTTTAGTTTTCTACATCGCCTTATAATCTAGCAGTTTTTTGTTTCATTTTTTAATACCATTTACTTTCACTTGTTCTTCTCAAATTGTATGCTTTCTTTATGATTGTCTATTGTTGTTTTTTATGTCTACTGTTGTCATCACTCTGTCTGAATCAGGTTTCTCTTGTTATTGAGTCCCCGAGGTTCATTGGGATTAACCTGTATGAATAAAGTTTGAATGAATGTTCCCATGTCCAGCAGTCACTGTGTGAGAGGTGGAGGACACCCTGGACAGGTTGCAAGTCCATCACAGCTAAGGTAGTTCATAAAGAAATAAAACTACTCTGAACAATGAAACTTAAGGTCTCCTTCACGGTGAATAACAACCTCACTGTAGTGTTGGAAAATTAGCCAGAACATGGATGGTCTTTGCAGGATCTTGGCACGGTCTTCAGGTGTGCAGTAAGACAGCATTGGTCTCTCTCTTACACATGATGAAGCGTGATAGGTCAGTAATGGTTTTGAGCATGAGCAAAACTTACCTAGCGAGGTTGTGGTGATTTATTTTTGTCATAGTATTTTATTGGGATCCTGCATAGAGTATACGAGAGTGCCTATGCTTCAACCAAGATACTGAAATGCGCAAGAGCAGGTGGTTCTAGGGAGTTGTCAAGTTGAGACACTCAAAACCATGATGAAACACACTTTTCTAATATCATGAATGGGTCTTTTGATTTCAATTATTTGGCTGTCAGCGAATTTGTGATAAAAGGTTATGGATGTTTTTATTGTTATGGCTGAGAACATTCTTCCCCTATTTGACATTTCATTTGTGCACAAGAGCAAACTAAGCTTTATTTATTTATTGTCATTTTGAACTTCTTTTTGCACATACTGTATTTTATTCAGTTGAATTCCTAACAAGGCTGTTCTTATTTACATATTGTTTGACTGTCTTCATGGATTTGAAACATTTAGACTAATTATTTCTTGTCAAAGCTGCTAAAATGCATCATGGGGTCCTTCATGATGCCACCTGCATCATGAAGGACCCCACCCACCCAGCACACACACTTTTTGCCCCACTCCCCTCAGGAAGGAGGTTAAGGAGCATTAAGTGTAGAACCACTAGACTGAGGAACAGCTTCTACCCTGAGGCTGTTAGACTCATGAATCTCTAACTAGAATAATCACTGTAAAAAACCATATCATGTTGCTGCTGATCTGTTTCATGTTGCTGCTGATCTGTTTCAATGTTGATGTGTTCATGCGTGCACATCTGCTCACAGACTCATGTTCATGTTTGTGGTGATGTTCAATGTTTTATGTTATGAGTGCTTAGTGTATATTTAGTTGATGTTTTTCTTAGTTCATATCTTAGATGTTACTGTTTTTCTTATACATTTTATTGTTGGATGTAACTGGGACCCTGTGTACATAATTTCGCTCCACCACATGTACCACATGAGGTGCGAATGACAATAAAGAAACTCTGACTCTCTGACTCTGACTCTGAAAATCCTCTCAAAGACTATATTGTTTAAAAACAACTACTTGGGTTAAAGGTAATGATGTGCCGTAATGCATGTACTCCATGAATAACAAGTCATCATATCATCCCTGTGTATGGAGGGGACTTGTGGTATAGTTTTATGAAGTTTTATAGTTTTCTGACTGTGGCACCTGGTGCTTTTCAAAGTGATATAGTCTCACTATCTGTCCTTTAGTTGTTTTTTTGTTTGTTTATAAGTGAAACACAACTGCACATCTAAAAAATTATGTGAAAATCTTTCAAGGTAAACGCATAGACCTCAAAGTGTTAGAACAACATCATGGTGCACAATTCAACAAACAGGAAGTCAGATCGTAGATAACAGTTTTATTGTGGTGACTTGTGACAAATTAAAAGATGAGAAACTCGTTTCCTGATTGTGACAGACTTGACTTCTGTACTCAACTATCTTGTATTTTCAAACTCTACTCTTATCACACAGATTTGCTTTCACTAATTAGTACTTGCACTGATTATCTGGAAAGAGGAGGCATGGAAACAAATTGTTTAGAAAAGGGGATTTGAAGGAAGGAAGGATGGATGAGTGGTTATCACATCACAGGGATAAATGCTCCATAGCCTGAAGTTTTTTTCTTCCATATTAAATGATGAGGCTGCCACATTTTCCATCCATCCATTATCTTTACCCACTTTATTCCTTTTTGTGTTGCGGGGGTCACTGGCGCCTATGTCCAGCTATCACTGTGTGAGAGGCAGGGTACATCCTGCACAGGTTGCAAGTCCATCACAGGGCCACATAGAGATACACGAGACAATCAACAACTCACTCTCTCACATTTTCCAAACAGTAAATTATGGTTGAATTGCAGCAAAATTGAAAAACCCTTTTGTGAAACCCGTGTTAAGCTATTCATGATCATGATACCAATAGTCCTCACCGAGTAGATTCTCCCTGCTTTTTGTCTGCATCCTCCGCTACATCCTAGAAGATAACATCATGCAAGCATGAAGGATATCTCATCTATATTAGGTTGTTTTACGTTTTTTGCTATAAAGCCCTCAAAAACCTAGCTCCATCTTATATTACAGGTCTTATTGTTCCATATTTTCCTAACAGAGTACTTTGCTCTCAGACTGCAGGCTTACTTGCGGTTCCTAGAGTTTCCAAAAGCAGAATGGGAGGAAGATCTTTCAGTTATCAGGCTCCTCTCTTATTGACCCAACTTCCAGTTTCTGTCTGTGCAGTTGACACATTGTCCAGTTTTAAGACTGGGCTTAAGACTTTCCTTTTTGATGAATCCTTTAGTTAGGGTTGGCTTGTTATGTTGCTATAGGCTTAAACTACTGAAGGACAAATTGACTTTATTTCCTTAAATGAATTGTTAAAATTGAATATTTTTCATTTGATATTTTTTCTATCTTAACATGTGATTCTTGACCTGCCATTGTGTATCTGTTCCTACCAAACCCAGCCGGTCGAAGCAGATGCCTGCTTGTCTTGAACCTGGTTCTGCTAAAGGTTTCTTCCTCATGAGGGAGTTTTTCCTTTCCACTGTTGCCTTATTATTGTTCAAAATGAGAGTCTGCAATGAAGTTAGACTCAAAGCAGTCTGCTCCTCATAATGTTATTAACTCGTTTTTTATGTATATGAATATTTCTGTTCAGTGCTTTGAGATGACTTCTGTTGTGACATGGCGGCGCTATATAAATAAACTGAACTGAATTGAATTGAAATTGTTTCCATGACCTTGTCACGATCTCGGGAAATGTGCCATGCATATAGGAGGCTTTGAGTAGAGGAGTAGAGTAGGAAGTACATTCTATCATCTTGAGAGGATACAGGTGAAGAGGTTTTCTGTGCAGAACCTCAACATTCGCCCTGCTTCCTTCATCGCAATACAATTTGAATTAAAGCATCAAAGGTTGGTCATTGCACCTGTTTGGTGAGAGCATAGCACAATCCTATTGGCACGAGTTGGGATGCAGTGCACACAGCTGCACTGCCGCAAGTGAAGCACTACCAGTGTAGTGTGGGCGTGAAGGAGCTATAACCCAGGCATGAGGCCAGCATGTCCAGTACCGCTTCAAATTCTCAGCAACTAAACCATGTTGGCGTATGCAAGCCCTGCATCACATCATCGCTATGCAGTCACAACAACCCACCCCCAAACTCCACCAAGGACCTCATTACACTAGTACCATAATAATAAATCTTCACATTGTTACAGTTTTGTGCATGCTCAAAAACCATACATGACCTATCACAGCCCAACATGCTCGATCATGTGTAGTGGGGAGCCCACTGCATTTTTAATATGCATCTGAAGATCTCACTAAAACCCTGTAAAGACCGCCCACGTTCTGTCTTTTTTTTTTTTTACATTATAGTCTGGCTTTTATCCAGTGTGAATGATACCTAATTAAAATTATTTTGACTATAAGTAAACTTTACATGTTTCTTTAAGGAGATGTTTTCTCTGGCAGTGCCTGGAGTTTGTTTTTTGTTTAATGCAGCACTGTGTCCAACCTGATAAACACAATTAGGTTTTAGCTTGACTCCGTCAACCGAATCAAAGCATCCGCAGACCCTGGACCTTATTATATGCTAATAAAGTCACTTCTCTAATAACTGATTTACAATTCAGTGGACTTTGTTCTTGCTTCGCTTGTATACTCAAATAAATACTCTCATAGAGCACACATTCATGTTATTGGTTTGCACATTATTTTTTATGTATTTTAACCTCTGATTTCTTTCTGTCTTGTCCACATTCACATATAAGGCAAGACTGATATTATATTCAGTTTAATATTGTGTAAATATGACAGTATTTGGGTAGAGTTTGAACATATTTAATGTTTATTTCTCTGGTGAAGATTGTCATCACTGTAAGAAAATCAGTCTGTTTGATGCACTAATCTTTTCAGAACAGCAGCGGTACAGAATTCACTTTTTTCCACAACAGACGTGTTTGTGTGAACGAGAAAGATGTCTAACTCTGACAATCTGTGTGTCATCCTCTTCCTCAGTGCTCAGCGGCCTCTGCTCCAACGACTGCCCTGAAGATGTCAAGGTAAGAAATATGTCTTTATGTTTCTAAACATACCATAAAAACCTATTTCTTTGTTACATTATGTTTGCAACAACTGATTTTCAAGTTCAAGTAGGATTTATTATCATTCGCATCACATGTGGTACATGAGGTGGAACGAAATTGTGTACACGGGATCCCAGTTACATCCAACAATAGCCAAAATATAAATAGTAAAAAGAAACAGTAATAAGGATCTAAGATATAAACTAAGAATACGCTAAACACTAATAATGCAAAACAATACACTGAACAACAACAGCACGAACATGAGTCTGTGTGAGTAGATGAGTATGAATGAATACAGCAGCATGAAATAATCAGCAGCATGAGATCAGCATCATGAAATAATCAGCAGTGTGGATAATCGGCAGCATGAGATCAGCATCATGAAATAATCAGCAGTGTGGATAATCAGTAGCATGAGATCAGCAAACTGAATATTTTTAAAGATGTTGCTTGCGTGTTGGTTTAACATTGGCATGCTTTGGATTCATTTAATTTATTCCATTTTTTAAAGGTTAAAACAAAGTAGGATTTATTGCATAAAATTAATCTGATTGTTTCCAGCCTGGTAATTTGTAGATAATTTGGTTCTGACCAGTTTCTGGTTCTCTGCTGGACTATTGTTATTTTACACTGGAAAGTCTGTGGGAATTGCATCATTTTGTAGAGTATGTTCAGAATGCTGGAAGAAGTGCCCTTGCTCTATCACTTATTGATGGAAAGCAAAAGGAAAAGAAGAAGCAACCCTTATCAACAAGTATCACTTTTTGTAAATGCCATAGAGGATTATGTTTGTCTGTAGACTCACTTGAGTGTTTTCTCATTTTAATGCTGGCTAACTGGTTGAGTGAACTCCATTAGAAACGCAAAGTGAGTGTTGCAGACATTTACATTTTTACAAACAGCCCCTTTAGATCCTCACCAGAAAATTTCAGGGCTGCAGTGCACGTATGAAAGCATCTTAAGACGTCACCTCTCCTGAGAACAGAGTGTACGGTTTTTAGCCAGGCCTGTGTTCTGACATCCTGCTGTTTTTTGCAATTCCTACCTTTTCATTGATTTTTCAGTAAATTATTGATGAAAAGTAGCCTGCTCTTTTCTGCTGGCTACTCCTGACACCTACCAGTGCTGTCATAACTGTTTATACTCAATATTTATTACATAAATCAAACATTGTTCTGTTTACCACCACCACAACAACAACCAAAACAAATCATTGAGTTTTGTTTATTACCAGGATGTCTGTTTGGCCTTGAAAACTATGGACTGGTCTGGAATAAGTACGGAAACAAAAGCAAACTATATAAATAATTGTATTAAATTGCTAAAGAAGCAATATTTTTCACAATAAATTTATATAAAAGATGTACATATTTACTACGATGTCTCCTTCTGGTTCATCTACATCATCTACATCTGAGTTGTAACATTTTACTAAAAACTCAGAGGCACATGTAGACTCAAACGGCTTCACGTGTCATTAGTGCGCATGTCTCAGACAAGAGACAGTTTCATACTAAGGATTAGGTTACGTTTCTGTCCTCAGCTCCTTCACAGGTTCATGTGTTGAACAAGACTGTGAACCCCAAGTTACTTTCAAAAGCTGCATCTTCCTGGCAGCAGTGTGTGAACGTGAAGCTCATTATAAAAAACAAAGTTTTCAAAAGTATGATACAACTACAGACCATTTCCCATTTCACTGTTGCATATATGCAGTTCATCAGTGCTAAGTAAGCCCACACAAAGTTCTAAAGCACTTTAAAATCCTAATATATTAGGAAGATATTTAATGGTCCTAAAACACTGAAGAGTTGCTCAAAGTATGATGCTCAGAAGAAACCCGGAAAGAAATGTTTCTGAAGGTTTTTGAAGAGTCTAAAAAATAATCCTGTGAAGCATAAGGCAAGATTTGGAAAAACCTAGAATTGATTTTAAAATCAGTTTTTTCAGCTGAACAATGAAACAGTTAGCTCTTAAAAGGCCAAGTCTAATAAGACAGTGAACAGAAGGCTTAAAATGACTAGATTAATGTTTACAGCATTTTGAGTTAAAGCCACACCTTTTTTGGGATGTGTTTCAGGGATTTTGAAACAAGGATAGACTGCTGGGGGAGGTTGTTTTTTTTAAGTTGTTGATAAATCATGTATTATGAGTAACCTGTCGTGAAGGTTCCTTGTGCTGGAGTGCTGCTACTGCAGGATTGGAAAGTATTAAAGGACAGACAAAATCAGGAAAATACATAAACATCTTTTTGTGAACTCAAACAAACAGTTTCATCAAAAAAAGTCTGGGTAATTATCAGCGTTTGAGCCATATTTGGACTAAAATACATTATTAGAACATTATCAAAAATGATCAGCAACGAATGTTTTGTTATTCAAACTCCAAATCTTGAGGGTTTACCTTGGATTTGATGTTTGAAGGACACTAACAGCTTTGATCTCTGCTGGGCTTGGGCTGAAATTCTCATGACTTCTACGTGTTCTTAAGTTTCCCTCTGAATCCAGTATGATTGTACTTCAAGGTCTAAAATACGTTATGTTCACATTCACATGAAAAAAAACACATGGTGAAATGGGAAAACGCTGATTAGTTTGTTAAATAAGAACCAGACGAGCATCAATGCATCTTTAAAACATTTAAGTAACACAACGTACAAAAGGAAATTAATCTGATACCAAATTAGTGTTTTGTTTCTCAGTGGCTATTCAATTTATAAGAAAAATCACTACTGTGACTTTACTGCACTGCCTAGCCAAAAAAAAGTTGCCACCTGGATTTAACTAAGCAAATAGGTACGAGCCTTCTATTGACTGCATGGGTGATTATCTTTCAGCTGGCAACAAGTTATTTAACTCCAACTGGTGCAATGAGTTGCTTCTCATTTCTTAAACAACCATGTTGAAAGACACATCGCGTGATCGTGGAAAAGATGTCAGTCTGTTTGAGAAGGGTCAAATCATTGGCATGCATCAAGCAGAGAAAACATCTAAGGAGATTGCAGAAACTACTAAAATTGGGTTAAGAACTGGCCAACGCATTATTAAAACTGGAAGGATAGTGGGGACCCATCGTCTTCCAGGAAGAAATGTGGCCGGAAAAAAATCCTGAATGATCGTGATCGGCGGTCACTTAAATGTTTGGTGAAATCAAATAGAAGAAAAACAACATTAGCACTCAGGGCTATGTTTAATAGTTAAAGTAAGAGCCTTTCTACACGCACAATGTGAATGGTACAAAAGGGATTGGGACTGAACATCTGTGTAGCCTTAAGAAAACCACTAATCAGTGAGGCTAACTGGAAAAAAGCTTCAATTTGCTAGGGAGCATAAAGATTGGACTCTGGAGCAATGGAAGAAGGTCATGTGGTCTGATGAGTCCAGATTGACCCTGTTCCAGAGTGATGGGTGCATCAGGGTAAGAAGAGAGGCAGGTGAAGTGATGCTCCCATCATGCCTAGTGTCTAGTCATCAATGAAAGATCTTGGTGAACAATTAATGCAACACTGGATGGAAATAGATCTTGTGACATTGTAGAAGCTTATTGAAACAATGCCACAGTGAATGCACGATGTAATCAAAGATAAAGGCGGTCCAACAAAATATTAGTGTGTGACCATTTTTTTTGGTGGCGACTTTTTTTTTTTGTCAGGCAGTGTATACATGAATGTTATGCATAAAAAATGTTGAGGCTTGTTTTGTTTTAAATTTTCCTACACCTCCTCTCTCATTTTAGCTTAAAAGCACTTGATTTATGAAATACTCAGCTGTGAGCACATTTTGTTTAATATGAGAGCACTAATGGCTAATTATCGCATGTAGGTGGACTGAAGATGAAATTACCAGGGAACAAAAACAGCCAGTGGTTTTACTCCTCATACAACCTTTCACTTGTGGAAAGTCCTTTGCAAAACACATCAGCTTTGACTTCAACAAGAGGCTGCCGGTTGTTTTGCTTCTCTGTCTGTCTCCTCTTCCACCCGCTTGTTGTCTAAGTGAAGATTATGACGAATGCAGTAGACGAGTGGTGCTTGCGGCTGTTTCAACTCTTTTCCTCTCCCATCTATCAGTTTGCGCTGTCTTTCCATTTCACTCTCCCAACCTCTTCCTTCTTAGTCACACCTCTCCTTTTCCTTCATGTGTTCAGCGCACTAGTCTGCTCCTCAGAGTTTTCATCTCTTTTCTTGTTTTTTTTTATTTTTTTTATCTCATTTCCATTCCACTCTCACCCAACTCTCGCGTGTCACAGCATAAAGGACCAAGTCTCATTGCCGTGCGACTGCATGTGTAACAGGCTCATTATTAGCTGATGCAAAGTGAAGGGTAACTCGACAGGTCTCCTCATCCCCTGTCATCCTTTCATAATGAGGAGATGAGACCAGAGTAAGGCACACACCCACACGGACACATAAACATGCAAACGTCACTCTCATTGAGGCTCAGGCGAATTCAAGCCAGCTTGGTCAGACCGTCACTAAATGTGGAAATAAAACTAGAAAACTTCAGGATCATTGATTTGCATCGTTGGTGTCTTGTCCTTCACCCTCACTGATGGACAGTTGATAAGAAAAATATATGTTAAAAAAATCTTGTTTTGTATTCATTTGTCTGCATGTGTGTGTGTGTTTCCAGCCTTTTGGTGTGAATCAGCCCGGTCCCTACGTTATGTACACCACAGTGGACTCTAATGGCTACCTGAAAAACGCCTCAGGTAAGCACTTTCTGCTCTTTGCATTGGCAGCTTTCAGTGTGAATGCTAAACTGCCCCTCTACGTTTGCCAAAGGAACATTAGCTATCTGAAAACGGCACTGTTTGTGCTTTTTTTATATATTCGGACAGCCTTATTGATGACCTAACCTTCTAAACAAAAATTTATGTGCTTAGCTTGTCCAAAGACGAGAGGTCTTGTTTGAGAGGGTTCTGAGAAAATAACAAATGAGAGAAAGTGGTACATATTGATTTTTATTTGCTGCTTTCCCCTTACATAAATAAGAAAAGGGGATTTAGAGGAGACAGCTTTTAAAGTCAAAGTTACATGTTTTAGTAGGAAATTGTGTGTTTATTCTTTTTACTGTGCCCATTGAAAATCTAGGTCTTTAATACGTTCTGACTCCACCAACACATCCTGTGTCATCACTCTTATATTTTTAAAACAAGAAAGTTCAGTAATATGCAAAAGAAAATGTTTATGGTTTTACTTATTTGACAATTTGTCTAGTTTCTGTAGATGTTGAGATATTTAGGTTTTGTTTTATTGTTTTGTTTTGTTTGGTTTTTTTTTTTGGTTGGAGGGAGTTTTCCAGAAAACCAGCTTTTTGAGAAAAATGTTATCAAATATTTTAATAGTGTGAAAATTTATGAAGCATTCACACTATTGTGATCCAATTTTCTTCTGTACATTTCCACAATTTCTGTGCTATTTCATCAAATCATATATCAAAATGTTCAGCTCGTTCAGGAGAAGGGTGCTGTGACTTTTGGTATCGGTGCAACTTTAGCTTTTTGAAATATTTAGCCTTTTCTGCTACTTTTTTTTTCTCATAGAAAATGAACTGAACTCATTTTTACATCCTTCATATCTTTAGATCTGTTTACAACTAGGGATGCACCGAGCCACTTTTTTTACTTCCGATCCGATCCCGATACCTAAATATCAGCCGATGCCGATCCCGTTCCGATATCATGATCATCATTGATTTTATATGAGGCTGTAATAATCTCCTCTCAAGTACAATTTGTACAAATATATGCATGTATGTCCAAAAAGGCAACTTGACGTATTATTAAAGTTGGATAAGTTTTAAAGTTAGATTTAAATTCTGCTAACACAAAACATGTTGTTTTTTTTATTCCTATCTTTAAACTGGATATTAAAGTGATTAATTTAAGTCATTGTTTAAAGTTATTTTATTATTTATTTTAAATAAGGGGCATATATAAGATTTTTCTTCTTTCTGCACTCTTTTCATTCAATGTTTTATTTTTGATGAATTTGTTTTTTTCTTTTAAATTAATGAACAAAAATGAATAAAATAAAATAAAATGTTAAATGGCTTTAAACATCTGCTAAGTTCATGGCATAAACCAACAGACGTGTTCCTGTTTTTAGCATTTTACATCACTTTATAATGTAGCTGTTTTTGTTTGGTTTACACACACACACACATATATATATATATATCCATCCATTTTCTTCCGCTTATCCGGGGTTGGGTCGCGGGGGTAGCAGCCTAAGTAGGGAGGCCCAGACTTCCCTCTCCCCAGCCACTTGAGCCAGCTCTTCCGGGGGAATCCCGAGGCGTTCCCAGGCCTGCCGAGAAACATAGTCCCTCCAGCGTGTCCTGGGTCTTCCTCTGGGCCTCCTTCCGGTGGGACGTGTCCGGAACACCTCACCAGGGAGGCGTCCAGAAGGCATCCTAAACAGATGCCCAAGCCACCTCAACTGGCTCCTCTCGACGTGGAGAAGCAGCGGCTCTACTCCGAGTCCCTCCCGGATGATCGAGCTTCTCACCCTGTCTCTAAGGGAGAGCCCAGACACCCTGCGGAGAAAACTCATTTCGGCCGCTTGTATCCGAGATCTCATTCTTTCGGTCACAACCCAAAGCTCGTGACCATAGATGAGGGTGGGAACGTAGATCGATCGGTAAATTGAGAGCTTCGCCTTTTGACTCAGCTCTCTCTTCACCACGACAGACCTGTACAGCACCCGCTTCACTGCAGACGCTGCACCTATCCGCCTATCGATCTCACGCTCCATTTTTCCCTCATTCGTGAACAAGACCCCAAGATACTTGGATCCTCCACTTGGGGTAGGACCTCCTTCCTGACCCGGAGAGGGCACTCTACCCTTTTCCGGCTCAAGACCATGGCCTCGGATTTGGAAGAACTGATCTTCATCCCGGCCGCATCGCATTCGGCTGCGAACCGCTCCAGCGAAAGCTGTAGATCACGATCTGATGAAGCCAATAAGACCACATCATCTGCAAAAAGCAGAGACGCAATCCTAAGGCCACCAAAACGGATCCCCTCAACACCTTGGCTGCGCCTAGAAATTCTGTCCATAAAAGTTATGAACAGAATCGGTGACAAAGGGCAACCTTGGCGGAGTCCAACTCTCACCGGGAACAAGCCCGACTTACTGCCGGCGATGCGGACCAGGCTCTGACACAGGTCATACAGGGACCTTACAGCCCGTATCAAAGGGCCCGGTACCCCATACTCCCAGAGTACCCCCCACAGGGCCCCCCGAGGAACGCGGTCGAACGCCTTCTCTAAGTCCACAAAGCACATGTAGACTGGTTGGGCAAACTCCCACGCACCCTCCAGGACCCTGCTGAGTGTAGAGCTGGTCCAGTGTTCCACGGCCAGGACGAAAACCGCACTGTTCCTCCTGAATCCGAGGTTCGACTATCCGACGGACCCTCCTCTCCAGAACCCCCGAATAGACCTTACCAGGGAGGCTTAAGAGCGTGATTCCCCTGTAGTTGGAACACACTCTACGGTCCCCCTTTTTGAATAGGGGGACCACCACCCCGGTCTGCCAATCCAGGGGAACTTCCCCCCAATGTCCACGCAATATTGCAGAGTCGCGTAAGCCAACACAACCCTAGAACATCCAGAGCCCTAAGGAACTCTGGACGGATCTCATCCACCCCTGGGGCCCTGCCACCGAGGAGCTTTTTAACCACCTCAGTGACCTCAGCACCAGAGATTGGAGGGCCCGACCCAGAGTCCCCAGGCTCTGCTTCCTCAGTGGAAGACGTGCCGGTGGGATTGAGGAGGTCTTCAAAGTATTCCGCCCACCGACCCACAACATCCCGAGTTGAGGTCAGCAGCGCACCACTCCCACTATAAACAGTGTTGGTGGCGTACCGCTTTCCCCCCCTGAGATGCCGGATGGTGGACCAGAGTCGTCTCGAAGCCGTGCGGAAGTCGTTCTCCATGGCCTCTCCGAACTCCTCCCATGCCCGAGTTTTTGCCTCAGCAACCACCCGAGCCGCATGTCGCTTGGACTGCCGGTACCCATCAGCTGCTTCCGGGGTCCCACAGGCCAAAAAGGCCCGATAGGACTCCTTCTTCAGCCTGATAGCATCCCTCACTGACGGTGTCCACCATCGGGTTCGAGGGTTGCCGCCGCGACAGGCACCGACAACCTTGCGGCCGCAGCTCTGGTAAGCCGCCTCGACAATAAAGGCACGAAACATGGTCCACTCAGACTCAATGTCCCCCACCTCCCTCGGAACATGTTCAAAGTTCTCCCGGAGGTGGGAGTTGAAACTCCGTCTCACAGAAGACTCTGCCAGACGTTCCCAGCAAACCCTCACAATACGTTTGGGTCTGCCAGGTCTGACCGGCATCCTCCCCCACCATCGGAGCCAACTCACCACCAGGTAGTGATCAGTTGACAGCTCCGCCCCTCTCTTCACCCGAGTGTCCAAGACATGTGGCCGCAGATCAGATGAGACGATGACAAAGTCGATCATCGAACTGCGGCCTAGGGTGTCCTGGTGCCAAGAGCACATATGGACACACTTATGCTTGAACAAGGTGTTCGTTATTGACAATCCATGACGAGCACAGAAGTCCAACGACAGAACACCACTCTGGTTCAGATCAGGGGGGCCGTTCCTCTCAACCACACCCCTCCAGGTCTCACTGTCATTGCCCACATGAGCATTGAAGTCCCCCAGCAGAACAAGGGAGTCCCCAGAAGGTGCACTTTCCAGTACCCCCTCCAAGGACTCCAGAAAGGGTGGATAATCTGAACTGCCGTTTGGTGCATAAGCACAAACGACAGTCAGAACCCGTCCCCCCACACGTAGGCGGAGGGAGGCCACCCTCTCATTCACCGGGGTGAACCCCAATACACAGGCACCAAGTTGGGGGGGCAATAAGTGCGCCCGCGCCTGCTCGGCACCTCTCACCAGGGGCAACTCTAGAGTGGAAGAGTGTCCAGCCCCTCTCAAGGAAACTGGTTCCAGAGCCCGAGCCATGCGTAGAGGTGAGTCCGACTATTTCTAGCCGGAACCTCTCAGCCTCACACACCAGCTCAGGCTCCTTCCCCACCAGTGAGGTGACATTCCACATCCCAATAGCCAGCTTCTGTAGCCGAGGATCAGACCGCCAGGGTCCCCGCCCTCGGCCACCACCCATCCCACATTGCACCCGACCCCTTTGGCCCTTCCCACAGGTGGTGAGCCCATGGGAAGGGGGACCCACGTCTCCTCTTCGGGCTGTGCCCGGCCGAGCTCCATGGGTAAAAGCCCGGCCACCAGGCGCTCGCCCGCGTGCCCCACCTCCAGGCCTGGCTCCAGAGTGGGGCCCCGGTGACCCACGTCCGGGCAAGGGAACACTAGGTCCATTTGTGTTTCTCATCATTGGGGTCTTTGGGCTGCACTTTGTCTGGTCCCTCACCTAGGACCTGTCTGCCATGAATGGTTCACAAATAAACGTATGCAGGTGTTGGAATGGAATATATATATATATATATATATATATATATATATATATATAT